TACAAAGAAATTGGAAGCAATCAATGTCTTCAGGAGAGGGCCTGCCCAAAACAAAAAAAAACTAGTTACTAATTACTAAGAGGGGAACTAAATTACCTATACATGTAAAAGAAAAGAAATAAACAAAATAGGCTTCCATCTACTCCCTAACTAACAAAAAATAGGGATAAACATTTAGTATTTCAAAAGAAAGTGGCACTCTCACCCTACAGCTTCCAATAAAGTAAAACGAAACAACATGAGAGATAGAAGCAAGACCTTTAAATACGTAACAATAGTCAAAAGAAATATTTCTATAACTGAATGAAAATGCTACAACAGTTTAATCACCAGAGCACATGTATCCACAAAGTGTGCACACCAATTGTAATTCAATAGGACATGCAAGTTTTCACACTCAACAGCTTTATACAAGTCTGTTGCAGGGGAGAAGTGAACTTCTCTGAAGCAGTGTTCTTTCTGCCCTCTTATAAGCTATGTCCCAATTCAGAGACAGCATTCTTCAAAGGACTCAGACTGCAAAGGCCACGTCTTCGAAGGCTGTGAAGGTCAGACCGAGGGTTGTTAAATGGACGGTCTAGGACAGAGGATTGCGCTTGTCGCCTAGCAACTGTGACAGCTGCCATTGATGAGCGGCAGTAACTGTTCTGTCTGTAAAGATGACTCGTACTTGAACTTCCCTCACATCACTGAACTGCGTGAAAACTAGGGCTGGGTTTTGACACAAATTTCATGATTCGATTGGATTACCAATTCGATTCGATTCTATTCAGTATTGATTATTTTCGATATAGCCTAGCCTATATCAGGTACAGTACATGCCAAATTTTTTCAAGGAAAAAAATCTCTCAACTAATGCTGTAAAATATACATGAGAGTCAGTTGGTACTACATTACTATATTAGCCTATTAAAGGTTAAAATTGACTGATTTGTTAAAATTACACTTAATGAAGTTTTTAAAATAATAAAGTTAGAAATTACATAATTTTTCTACTTCAATTGTTTTATATATATATATATATATATATAAACATTTAAATGGTGGCTGTCAAAAACTTGATGGATTTATTCAAACATAAATTAAACATTGTTAACTTACCTTTGGATGTTTAGTCATGTTTATTTTGTGCTGAAGCTGGTATTAATGTGGAGGAGATGATCAGTTCACGTGCGCTACCCACTGCTGCGTCTGTTGATCTGAGGCGTTACAGCGATCTGTCACTCATTTTTTTTTTTTTTAAATATAAACATTTAATTGGTGGCTGTCAAAAACTTGATGGATTTATTCAAACATAAATTAAACATTGAAGAACAGTAA